CTAGTACCCAGCCCCTAGTGACTAGTACCCAGCCCCTAGCGACTAGTACCCAGTGACTAGCACCTAGCCCCTAGTGACTAGTACCCAGTGACTAGTACCTAGCCCCTAGTGACTAGTACCCAGCCCCTAGTGACTAGTACCCAGTGACTAGTACCCAGCCCCTAGCGACTAGTACCCAGTGACTAGTACCCAGCCCCTAGCGACTATTACCTAGCCCCTAGTGACTAGTACCCAGCCCCTAGTGACTAGTACCCAGTGACTAGTACCCAGCCCCTAGTGACTAGTACCCAGTGACTAGTACCTAGCCCCTAGCGACTAGCACCCAATGACTAGTACCCAGCCCCTAGTGACTAGTACCCAGTGACTAGTACCCAGCCCGTAGTAACTAGTACCCAGCCCCTAGTGACTAGTACCCAGCCTCTAGTGACTAGTACCCAGTGACTAGTACCCAGCCCCTAGTGACTAGTACCCAGTGACTAGTACCCAGTGACTAGTACCTAGCCCCTAGTGACTAGCACCCAGCCCCTAGCGACTAGCACCCAATGACTAGTACCCAGCCCCTAGTGACTAGTACCCAGCCCCTAGTGACTAGTACCCAGTGACTAGTACCCAGCCCCTAGTGACTAGTACCCAGTGACTGGTACCCAGCCCCTATTGACTAGTACCCAGCCCCTAGTGACTAGTACCCAGCGACTAGCACCCGGCCCCTAGTGACTAGTACCCAGCCCCTAGTGACTAGTACCCAGCCCCTAGCGACTAGTACCCAGCCCCTAGTGACTAGTACCCAATGACTAGTACCCAGCCCCTAGTGACTAGTACCCAGTGACTAGTACCCAGTCCCTATTGACTAGTACCCAGCCCCTAGTGACTAGTACCCAGCGACTAGCACCCAGCCCCTAGTGACTAGTACCCAGCCCCTAGTGACTAGTACCCAGTGACTAGTACCCAGTCCCTATTGACTAGTACCCAGCCCCTAGTGACTAGTACCTAGTGACTAGCACTCAGCCCCTAGTGACTAGTACCCAGTGACTAGTACCTAGCCCCTAGTGACTAGTACCCAGTGACTAGTACCTAGCCCCTATTGACTAGTACCCAGCCCCTAGCGACTAGTACCTAGCCCCTACTGACTAGCACCCAGCCCGTAGTGACTAGTACCTAGCCCCTAGTGACTAGCACCCAGCCCCTAGTGACTAGTACCCAGCCCCTAGTGACTAGTACCTAGCCCCTAGTGACTAGCACTCAGCCCCTAGTGACTAGTACCCAGCCCCTAGCGACTAGTACCCAGCGACTAGCGAGCAGCGCGCTCTCCATGCCTCGCATGGCAGATAGCACTCCAGCCGACTGTGTGGACGCCTCACCTTGTCTCCATTGGGAGAGGGCGCAGCAAATGATCTCCACCCACCACATCACCCACCCCGCTACCAATACCCCCTATACCCTCCCTCAATGCGTGCAGGACTAGCTCGCGCTGTCCGTAAATACCAGCGGCGCCTTCCTTCCTGACGATCGCCAAACCGTCTGAATTGCGCTCCACAATTAGACTCGATTCGAGTGGAAGCCCCGCGTCAAAATTGCAGCTGCACCGGATGTTAAACTAAAACTATAAACTGGTTTTAACACGTAGGCTTGCACAACCAATACATATTTACGCGCTCTAACCCAAAAGCCTCTATTACGGATAAACTATGAACGATTTATAATTTGCCAGGTAAGGCCCCCACTGTTATATGCAGCTCTTATGCAGAAGCGACCTGGCTCTCACAAACGATAGCTCAGCGGAGTGGCGTAACTTCATCACGTGGAAATGTCTAGCAGCCAAGTGCTCTAAGCGCGCGATGTTCATTCCAAATGTGGAGGGAAAACCCAGAGAACCCGGAGATACAATCAACGTGAACACGGGGGAAAACATGCAATCTCTAAATATACAGGCGTCAGGGTCGGGATCGAACCCACGGACCCTCCTGCGTACGAACCTGTGTGGCAACGCCACTCAGGTTCGACCGCTAAGGGCTCCCCCATCCGTCTGATGCTCTCCTCCTACCGCTGCCGAGTGCGACCCCATTTCAATCGTTCATCTCTCTCGACCGCTTTGTCCAGTTCTCGGCGAGCAGTTGCTGCGACCTGCACGCGTCTGGGCGTGGCCAAGCGGTATGGCCACGCCCATCCATATTAGCATCGCCCCACCCCTTTACCAGTTAGCCAACTGCCCATTGCCAGCATCAGGATTTCCAAAGGCCCAATCATAGCTGCGCAATTGTGTCATCACGTGGCAATTGATAAAACAGGGACTCCTCTACTTACGAACGAGCCCAGAGGTCTGCTCGTCAGTCGATTTGTTCGTAAGTCCAACTTTACTCCCGTCAATTCCAAACACGTTGTACGGCGTGCACACTAAACACAGGGAACGGCTTCAAAAGTTGTATAATCTCCTGCAGATGTTGATGCCACTGGTTCTTCCCGTTCCGCAGACGTAGATGCCGCCACTGCCATCTGTTGCGCGGCGGTTGAACTTAACGACTCTCGGCCCGAACGGGTGCCTCTGAAAGTTCGTAAGCCGAATGTTCGTAAGTAGAGGCGTCCCTGTAATTCACGACGAATCGTCACCGAACGGATCGACGCGTTGGGAGTCGCGGGGTCTGCCTCGCTGCTGCTAGCAGCGAACCCGAATCGATATCTTAATTTATACTGAAAAAGGAATTTGAGGAGCTGTGAAAGGGGCCACGGGGTCAGCGAGTTTTACAAACACGGACAACGCAAACGATCGGAGTGCCAAGCGGACACGCGGCAAGCGAGGCACGGTTGCCCGACGAACCGGTTTGCGGAGACGATCACGCTCATGCGTTCAGCAATTCAGTTGCATCAAACCAAGTCGAGCAAACGGTCGCGACCGGTTGCAAGAGCTGCCCGCACACGCTCGTAACGCTTCGGTTGCATGCACCAAAGTTGGGGCAACCCGCTTGCGACCGCTCGCGGAAGAAGTTGGTTGGCGTGCAACCGAGCGGCCCGAGTAGGAGCGCGGCTGCTCGCTCGACTGCACGCGCACGATTTTACACATCAAGCAGACAGCAACCACGGACTAGCAAACCAGCGACCAGCGACCAGCAAGCCAGCGACCAGCGACCAGCAGCCGGCAAGGCTCTCCATCAGTGTACCGCGGGGCACAGAGCTGAGTGAGCGGAAAGCTGCCGGGAAGCAACGCGCGTCCCTCAAACTCCGCCCCGGGGTTCCGCATGCACAGCGCGGGACAGAGAGGGAGGGGGGGGGGGGTTGGGGGGGGGCGAGAGATTGGGGGGGGGGTGTCGGTGAGCGAGTGAGTCGGTGTGATGAGCGGCGGTGGTGTGGCGTGCTTGTCTGAACGCTCGGCCTTCCCCTGGGTCGACTCAGCCTCGAGTGGGTACCTAATGCGGTGTGTAAGACGTCGCCACTCGGGAGACAAAGGCGGCCGGGCGTGGTGGTGCTGGCCTGCCCCACCCTTCCTTGTGTGCTGTTCCTGCCTTCATAGGTGCTCACTAAGGGAACTTGCCCCAACAGTCTGTTCAAAGCTATACGGGGGATCTTTGTCTTGGCTCCGGAGGGTGGGGAGGGATTCTTTCCTTCTCTGTGCCCTAGGGGCCAAGATTCCTAAATCCAGCGCTGGTCTTGGTTCGCGGCGATGCTGATAGCGCAGCATGGAAAACGCCGTGCGAACAATATAGCGTGTACACACACATACACACACGTGCGTAATTGTTGTTATAATAAATACGTGTTGCCTCCTAAGAAGACTCCGTCTCCTTACAAACCCACTACACGCAGCAGCAGCAGCAATCACCATCGTCGACCTGCGACTCGCAGCAGGTCGAACTACCTCAATAACAAACAAACCGAGACTCATCCACCTGCTCCATCAAATTCCCACACGTGGATGAAAGCAAGGCCGTAATTATAATATATATTGGGGGGGACACATCCCTCTAAATATTCTAATATGCTAAAAATATTCCCTCGCCCCCCCCAATAAATTGCTATAAAAATATTTAAAAAAATAATAATTGCGATGCTATGTAAATTAAATCAATTTGCTAAACCTTGGCCACAATATCTGGACTTATCTTCATATATCAATGCATAGATTTCTGTTTATATGATTGTGGTTATGGTTGTACTTTATTTATCCCTAATCTCTGCCATTACATACAATGAAACAAGAAACGGTAAAAAAACAGAGCAATGTAATAAATACAATAACACTATTAGACATTATTGTAAAAATAAATTAAAAGTCCATCCCATTTGTTAGTGAATTTTTAAAAATATTTTAGGCAGGAAATTAGTTTTCAAATTTAGATTTTTTTCTGGGGGGGGGGACCCTCAGACCCCCTTGAAGATTTGGTCCCCCCCCAATGTAGACTTCATGGCTACGGCCTTGGCTGAAAGAACGTCCACGTGGACCTTGATCGATGCGCGTGGATACGAGGGGGGGGGGGGGGGGGTGACGTTGCCGATGACGCGTTGCGGATAATGGGAACGATCGAGTGACAGTGGGCACGCCCTCAAAACAAACGTCACAACAACCCGGGGGACAAGGGGGAGCTCAACTGGACTTGCGGTGCCCCAGGCCAAACCACGCGGTACGAGTGCGGTAGATGGGGGTGGGGGGCAGCCTGACTGTCCCTCCTTACCCCCACCAGTGCAACGTTGGGATGTAGAACTCTGATTCGGGTATACTGGATGTGGTGTGCCGGGCTCATTGTTCGGACATGAGCGGTCTGAAATCATGCTCTGAGCAGTGGTGAAGGCAGAGGGGGGGGGGGGAGGACAGGAGGAGTAGAGAAGTGGAGGGGGGGGGGCTGGCAGCGTGCAAGTGCAGCAGCAGAAACCCGTGGCGCCACCGGTGCCCTGGAAGCGACGTGGGGGGGGGGGGGGGGGCACGGGACAGGGCGCGGCAGGAAGTGGGGGGCACGGAAGGGGGCTGCGAGAGGGGAGCCGTGCGGGGGAGCGACTGCAGTCTGCGTCTTTACCCTCGGCGTCGCCGGTGTCGGCTGGGTGAGCGACGGTGGGGGGGGGGGGGGGGGGGGTGGGCGACGGGGGGTGGGGGAGGCGAGGGGGGGATGGGGGGAAGGGGGGCGAGGGGGGTGACACAGCGCACCACCGCGGGTCAAAAATCACGCCCTCTGTATGACCCACCCAGCCATGCCCTCTGTATGACCCACACAACCCACACAGCCATACCCTGTGTATATCCTACCCAGCCATGCCCTCTGTATATCCTACCCAGCCATGCCCTCTGTATATCCTACCCAGCCATGCCCTCTGTATATCCTACCCAGCCATGCCTTCTGTATATCCTACCCAGCCATGCCCTCTGTATATCCTACCCAGCCATGCCTTCTGTATATCCTACCCAGCCATGCCTTCTGTATAGCCTACCCAGCCATGCCTTCTGTATATCCTACCCAGCCATGCCCTCTGTATATCCCACCCAGCCATGCCCTCTGTATATCCCACCCAGCCATGCCCTCTGTATATCCTACCCAGCCATGCCTTCTGTATATCCTACCCAGCCATGCCTTCTGTATATCCTACCCAGCCATGCCCTCTGTATATCCCACCCAGCCATGCCCTCTGTATATCCCACCTAGCCATACCCTCTGTATAACCCACCCAGCCATGCCCTCTGTGTATCCCACCCAGCCATGCCCTGGCAGCCGGGCTTCGTATGGAGCAAGCGGACATTGATAAATCAGGAAAATAAATGAATTCAACGACGAATAAAACACACGCAAAAACTCCACACGAGTAACGGGAGAGACGCAACGCTCACTCCGGCTCTCCTAACTCTCGCTGGCGTGAGAGGTGGCATGCTCTGCAAACACAACAACAACCAAAACAACAACAAACAACCACAAGGACAAGACGCACGCACAAGCACGAGAACCAACGGGACGTAACTCAGGGGCAATAAAGGAACAAGCAGCGGTGAGCTATGGGGCAACTGCGGACCCGTGGTGATGTTCCTAGCGGTGACGGTCACCACCACCACCACCACAACCGCCACCGCCGCCGCCACCACGACCACCACCAACAGCGAGAGGGGGAGCTCAACTTACGGAGTGCCTTGGACCGGATGGCATCATCGCCGAACCCGGGGTAGTCCTGTGGTCCAGCGAGCGTGAAAGGGGGAGAGCAGAACAAAGCGGGCGGGCGGGCGGTCTAGTGCGTTTGCAGCGTTTATGTGTGTGTAAGGCGTGCACGCGTGTGTGTGCCGTCTGTATGACCCACACAACCCACACAGCCATGCGTTCTGTATATCCCACCCAGCCATGCCTTCTGTATATCCTACCCAGCCATGCCCTCTGTATATCCTACCCAGCCATGCCCTCTGTATATCCTACCCAGCCATGCCTTCTATCGCTTCTGGGGAGCGAAAGTGTAGCGGTTAGCGCGCTGCGCTATGAACCTGGCGACCCGGGTTTGATTCCGGCTCACGGCCAACACCAGTGACGATTTTCTGAACCGGTCCCGGGCCTCCCCTAGGTCGACTCAGCCTCAAATGAGTACCTGGTGCGGTGTGTAAACATTGCCACTAGGGAGACAAAGACGGTCGGGCGTGGTGCTGGCCACCCACCCCCTCGTGTACCGTTACGGCTTTCATAGGTGCTTGCTAACAGCACTTGCCCCTACAGTCTGTTAAGGCTATATGGGGGATCTTTGTTCTTTGTAACTGAGTGTGTGTGTGTGTGATTGGGGAGCGGTAGTGTAGAGCTTAGCGCTACGCTGCGCTAAGAACCTGGCGGGCGACCCGGGTTCGATTCCCGCTCACGGCAAACACCAGTGACGTTTATCTGAACCGGTCCTGGGCCTCCCCTTGGTGGACTCAGCTCAAATGAGTACCTGGGTGCGATGTGTAAACATCGCCACTAGGGAGACAAAGGCGGCCGGGCGTGGTGTTGGCCACCCACCCCCTCGCGTGCGGTGCCGGCCTTTATAGGTGCTGCTCGCTAACAGCACTTGACCCTACAGTTTGTTAAGGCTATACGGGGGATCTTTGTCTTTGTGTGTGAGTGACCGGGTGTGTGACCGGGTGTGTAACTGTATGTGTGTGAGCGGGTGTGTAACTGTGTGTGTGAGAGAGCGGGTGTGTAACTGTGTGTGTGTGTGACCGGGTGTGTAACTGTGTATGTGTGTGTAACTATGTGTATGTGAGAGTGGGTGTGTAACTGTGTGTGTGTGTCTCACCCCCTTGCTGTCCAGGGTGCTGGACTTGGCGTTGAATTTCACCGTCTTGAGACGTGCCCGCTCCTTCCTCTCCACCCTGCGTACACCGCCACCACCATCATCATCAGAATCAGCATCATCAGCATCAGTATCAGCATTCGCATCAGCAGCATTACCATAATCAGTATAATCAGCATCAGTATTAGCATAATCAGCATTAGCATCAACAGCATTACCATCATCAGTATCAGCATCATCAGCATTAGTATCAGCATCATCAGCAGGATCAGTATAAGCAGTAGCATTAGCAGCAGCATTATCATCGTGAGTATCAGCATCACCATCATCACCAGTATTATAAGCAGCATCAGTATCAGCATTATCATCAGCAGCAGCATTGCCATCATCGGTATCAGCATCATCAGCAGCAACATCAGCATCAGCAGCATTACCATCATCAGTACCAGAATCATCAGCGTGCACGTGCGTGCGTGCGCATCCTCACCGGCGCTTGCTGGGCACCACCCCGATGAGGTCGCCCTCCCCGTCGGGGGTGACGCGCCGCGCCTGCCACCACTCGTCATCCGAGGCGTTCACCACGTGGAGGATGTCCCCGAAGCGGAAGCTCAGGCCCTGGCTGGGCAGGCCGCTGTCCTTGGTGCGGTCGTAGTCGAAGAGCGCCCTGCACGATGCACGGGGGGGGGGGGGGATGGGGGTCAGGCCAGGTGCGCGCGTGCGCGCGTATGTACTGGGGAGACTCCTCTACTTACGAGCGAGTTAGGTTCCAGAGGTCTGTTCGTAAGTCGATTTGTTCGTAAGTCGATATGTTGGTAAGTCCAACTTTACTCCCCGTCGATTCCAAAAACACGTTGTACTGCGTGTAAACTAAACACGGCGAATGGCTTTAAAAGTTGTATAACCTCCTGTAGATGTAGATGCCACTGGTTCTTCATGCTCTGTAGATGTAGATGCCACTGGTTTTTCACGTTCTGCAGATGCAGATGCCACTGGTTCTTCGCGTTCTGCAGATGTAGATGCCACTGGTCCTTCATGTTCTGTAGATGCACTTTGTTCTTCACGTTCTGCAGATGTAGATGCCACTTCACGTTCTGCAGATGTAGATGCCACTGATTCTTCACGTTCTGCAGACGTAGATGCCACTGGTTTTTCACGTTCTGCAGATGCAGATGCCACTGGTTCTTCGCGTTCTGCAGATGTAGATGCCACTGGTTCTTCGCGTTCTGCAGATGTAGATGCCACTGGTTCTTTACGTTCTGCAGATGTAGATGCCACTGGTTCTTCACGTTCTGCAGATGTAGATGCCACTGGTTCGTCACGTTCTGCAGATGTAGATGCCACTGGTTCTTCACGTTCTGCAGATGTAGATGCCACTGGTTCTTCACGTTCTGCAGACGTAAATGCCATTGGTTCTTCGCGTTCTGCAGATGTAGATGACACTGGTTCTTCACGTTCTGCAGATGTAGATGACACTGGTTCTTCACGTTCTGCAGATGTAGATGCCACTGCTTCTTCTTCACGTTCTGCAGATGTAGATACCACTGGTTCTTCACGTTCTGCAGATTTCGATGCCACTGGTTCTTCATGTTCTGCAGATGTAGATGCCACTGGTTCTTCACGTTCTGCAGATGTAGATGCCACTGGTTCGTCACGTTCTGCAGATGTAGATGCCACTTCTTCTTCACGTTCTGCAGATGTAGATGCCACTGGTTCTTCACGTTCTGCAGATGCAGATGCCACTGGTTCTTCGCGTTCTGCAGATGTAGATGCCACTGGTTCTTCACGTTCTGCAGACGTAGACGCCACTCGTTCTTCGCGTTCTGCAAATGTTGATGCCACTGGTTCCTCACGTTCTGCAGATGTAGATGCCACCACTGCCATCTATTGCGGGGTGGTTGAACTTACGACTCTCGTTCCGAACGGGCAACCGGACATACGGACCAGGTTTGTTCGTATCTCTGAAAGTCCGTAAGTCGAATGTTCGTAAGGTGAGGAGTCCCTGCATATTGTTGTATGTTGAACTTATTTCGCACCATACAGGACGTAGCCAACCGTGCTAATCAGAGGTGCGGGAAATCGGAATTGCGGGATACACATATGCCACCCTGGGCGACACGGTGGCTATGCGATGTTAACGACCTCGCCTCGTATACAGGAGGTCGTCGGTTCGATCCCGAACCTGATGCCTGCTGCTGTATATTTTGCGTGTCTCTCTTTCCCTCTCCCCGTGGTCGCGTGCAATTTTCTACCGGTCCTCCGGTTTTTCCCTCCACATTTAGAATGAACATCACGCGGTTCAGAGCATTTGGCTGCTGATATAAATTTCCACTTGATGATAAGCCCACTTCGTTGAGCAAATCATTCGTGATGGCCAGGTCGCTTCTGCAAATATAGAGCTATGCAGCTCAGTGGGCTTTACCTGGTCAAATAATTGTATACTTTTTAATCTCGATTCGAAGCTTTCGTGACTGCACGAATCCATACTCATTGATTCTTTCGGTAAAGTCACGGAGGTAGGAAAATAATAATGGATGACGACGTTCCAATCGCAACACAAGCAATCGTCATCAGGTGAGACGACCACAGCAAGAAAACTGCTGAAGCAAACTTGTTGATAGTTTTAGTTTACAGGATACTCGACAACACCGCTGACGTTGGTCATTGGTGAGCGGGAATCGAACTTAGGCAGCGGGGTTCTTGGTGCGGTGTTGCTCGCTAAGCCACCGCTCCCCTCCACACAAAGACAAAGATCCCCGTATAGCCTTAACAGACTGTAGGGGAAAGTGCTGTTAGCGAGCACCTATAAAGGCCGGCACGGCACACGAGGGGCGATATTTACACACCACACCAGCTACTCATTTCAGTCTGAGTCGACCTAGGGGAGGCCCAGGACCGGTTCAGATAATCGTCACTGGGTGTTGGCCGTGAGCGGGAATCGAACTTGGGTCGCCGGTTTCGTAGCGCAGAGTAGCGCCGACCGCTACACCACCGCACACCACGTCTCCCGGCTGCTCTCAGTGACTCTCCCCCCCCCCCCCCCCCCCCCCCCCCCCACCGGCTCAGGCGCTGCCTACCTCACGTAGAGGGAGCGCTTCTGGCTGGTCTTGAGCGAGCCAGAGCCCGTGCTCAGGCTGCTGTTCATCATCTGCTCTCGCAGGTCGTGGATCTTCGCCTCAAAGCGGCTGTACTCTGTGGGGGGCACGGGGGGGGGGGGGGCGAGGGGGGGGCGGCATGGGGGGCAGGGTGTGGGGGTTAGGAGGGGGGGGGGTGTGTGGCTCGTACTCGCTGTACACGGAGTGCGGTCTGAGTTGTGTGCGAATTCTGCTGCACGCGACTCTAAGGGGTCATGCGTTTGTGCTGCTGCACTGTGTCCCGCGTCACTCGCTGTTCCGCGTCACTCGCTGTCCCGTGCTGTCCCGCGTCACTCGCTGTCCCACGCTGTCCCGTGTAACTCGCTGTCCCGTGCTGTCCCGCGTCACTCGCTGACCCGCGTCACTCACTGACCCGCGTCACTCGCTGACCCGCGTCACTTGCTGTCCCGCGTCACTCGCTGTCCCGCGTCACTCGCTGACCCGCGTCACTCGCTGACCCGCGTCACTCGCTGACCCGCGTCACTCGCTGACCCGCGTCACGCGCTGTGCTGGTGCGCACCCTCAGGCTTGTACTGCGCGATGATTGTGACGGTCTGGCCGGCGCCCTTCAGCGCAGCGGCCGCCTGCTCATGCGTGGCTCCTCGAAGGTCGATGCCGTTCACCTAAACACAAAGGTGCTGTAGCCTTCACACACTGTAGGGGCAAGTGGCGCTAGCGAGTAGCACCTATGAAGGCCAACTCACACAGACACACACACTTACGCACACACACATTCACACACAGACACAACCATTCACACACAGACACACACACTTACAAACAGACACACACATTCACACACAGACACACACACTTACACACAGACAACAACAACCGCCATTCGCCACTAAGTGGTGGTGACGTCACCACGACGTTTGTGCCAGGCCATGTGCACCTTGAGGCCACGTGAAGTGTCGAACGCCCGCTGACAGGAGGTCACGGGGCAGACCCTGGTGCCACGGGTCGACTGACTGAGATGACTGAGATGACTGGCTGATGCACCACCTGTGCCCCCTACTGTGCCAACCTGCTGTGTTTTAGCCACCCGGCGCTCCGCTCGTTGTTGTGAGCATCGCTCCTCCGCCCTCCGTTGTTGTTGGAGGGCGACTGCCTCCAACTGCCCAGTAGCGTCCTTCACGAGCCTCCTCCATAGAGGCCGATCTTGACACTGTTGGTACCAGTCATCGGCAAGTCCACTCAGCTCCACGTCCTCCTGTACCACATCACTCCATCTCTTCTCTAGCCCGTGCCGCGCCCCTTTAGCCCCCTCGATCCGGCCGAACAAAAGCTGTTTCGTCATGTGGGGGCTGGGCATGCGGGCTACATGACCCAGCCAACACAGCCTTGCCTGCCGGAGGAGCTCACCGATGGGACATTGCCCAGATCTTTCAAAGATTTGTGGGCTCCTCACACAATCCAGCCTAGTTAAACCCAGGATGGATCGTAGCTGGCAGGCTAGCCTAAATGTTTCTAACCGGCGAAGATGTTACATTAAGGGGGTCCACGTTTCGCAAGCGTAGAGAAGGGAGGGAATGACCGTGGCCGAGAAGACCTTAAGCTTAGTGCGGAGCGACAGACCAGGTAGCTTCCACACAGCGTTGCGCAGCCAATGAAAATACATTGCCGCTCGACTGATTCGGAGTGAGACCTCTGCTGTTAAAACGGAGCAGGTCATAAGCACACTGCCCAGGTATGGGAAACTCTCCACTCTCTCCACAACTGCCCCATCACCGTTTGGGAGTTGTGGGGGTGGAGTGTCCGATGGTACAAAATACCCAGGCAGGTGCTTAGTTTTGGTGGGGCTGATGGTAAGGCCCCATCTCTTAGTGGCACGCTCCAGTCTCAGCAGCAGCGTCTCCAACTCCTCCTCTGAATGAGCAGCTATTACCAAATCATCGGCATACATAACGTGGTTGAGCAATAGGGAGCCATCCCTTGACCGCACCCGGGCATCGATCAGCCTCCCATTATATCTGTACCAAATGGAGATTCCCCCGATACAGCTATTGAAGGCTTCACGAACTACGTGGTCAAAATAGATGTTAAATAATGTGGGAGCCAGAGGATATCCCTGTCGCACCCCAAGGTGTACAGGGAATGGTTTGACTCCCGGCCACGTAGTTTTACCCGGGCCCGCTCACGATCATGAAGGTCCTTAATGATCGTGAGCAGTGGGTTAGGGACTCCAAAAGCACGAAGAACAACCCAGAGCCCAGGCCTACTGATGGTATCATAGGCATTCACCAGGTCAATAAAGCAGAGATGTAGGTCTTGTTGGAATTCCCTACACCTCTGCTGTAGCAGACGGACCGAAAATATAGCATTTGTGCAGGACCGCCCTTTCCTGAAACCGCATTGGGGCTCCGCAAGCCTCTCCTCAGCGTGCCTGGCAAGGCGATGTTGAATAATCATTGCCAGGACCTTTCCCGGCACGCTGAGGAGTGAAATGCCCCTGTAGTTGTTACAGTCTGTGCGGTCCCCCTTCTTAAAGAGGGGGACCACCAGGGCATCCTTCCAATCCTGCGGAACCTGTCCAGTGGTCCAGTCTGTTGTTATGATGTCATATAGGGCAGTCTATGCACAAACGCCACCCTCCCTCAGCATTTTGCTTGGGAGAGCATCTCTACCCGGTGCCTTTCCTGGTCTCAGACTCCGGATTGCCTTCAGTACTTCCTCAACAGATGGCACCTCAGCCAGCCACTCACAGGGGGTGACTTCTTCCAATATTTGAGGCACTGCAGCCTCAGCAGAGTCATCCCCACTTTGTGCCACGATGTTTTCCTGGCTGAGGGATTTCCCCTCCTCCAGGACCTCACAGAAATGCTCAGCAAATCTGCAAACCTGTTCCTGGGGGTCAGAGATTGGATCACCGTTTTTTTCCCCTAATGATGGTAATAGGTGTGGAGTTGCAGGTTCCTTTTTTTATGGAGTTAAATAGAGATTTGTGATCGCGGGTCACTGAGGCAGACTCTATCTCCTCAGCAACCCGCGACCACCACCCATCCTTGCAGCGCCTCACGGCTCTCCGAACCTCCGAGCGAAGGCTGCGGTAAGCCTCCTCATTCTCTGACGTGGGATTCTGTAGCCGATGACAGTGGGCCTGTCGCTTTTTCTCAACCATCCTGAACACCTCCTTTGTCAGCCAGGGTCTCTGGGGAAGTCTCATGCAGCCATTGCAGCTGCATGAGTCACAGTCCTAAACCTCACCCTTTTACCCTCGACATCAGGAGGAGTGGGGGACGATGCCAACCCCAGCCGCACGCGATGATGAAATTCTCGCTTGCAACTTTCATCAGATAACTGAGACCAGGCCACTTTAGGTTGGAATGGGGTCCTGGGTATACACCCACCACCGGAGTGGAAGAATGGCAGGCGCACTTTACAGATGACTAGTCGATGGTCAGAGGACAGATCAGCTCCACTGTAGGTCCTGGTGTCAAGGACATGGGCTCGCATCCGCTGGTCCGTCACTATGTAGTCCAGCAGATGTTCTTGTTTGGACCCGGAATGCATCCATGATGTTGTGTGGTTGCGCCGATGCCAGAACAGCGTGTTGGTAATTACAAGCCCATGGGCTGCACAATAATCTAGCAGCCTCCTACCATTGTTATTGAGCTGATCTGGCCCATGCCCTCCAATCACTCCAGACCAGGTGCCAGCATCATGACCAACTCGGGCATTGAAGTCACCCAACAAGATGACTCTATCCCGAGGGGCACTTTAGCCAGCACCTGTGACAAGTCATAGAAGGCATCTGACTCATCGGCTTTGCCTGCATCCCTCCACGGATGTTCGTCTTCGGTGGGGGCATAAGTAACCACGACCACCACTCCTCGCCTCCGGTTGATGGGAAGACACACACACTCACACACACAGACACACACACTCACGGAGAGACACTCACACAGACACACACACTCACAGACACACACATTCACACACAGACACACACATACACACACTCACACACAGACACAACAACAACCGCCATTCGCCACTAAGTGGCGGTGACGTCACCACGACGCGTGTGCCAGGCCAAACGCACACACACAGACACCCAGACACTCACACACAGCCACACACAGACACAAACTCACACACACAGACACACACTCTCACAGAGAGACACTCACACAGACACACACACACAAACACAGTCCTGCGTAACGTGCTGTCCCGCGTCACGTGCGCACACACGCACGTACACATGCACGTACGCATGCACGTTCGCACGTACGCACGTACACACGCATGTACACACGCACGCACGTGCACGCCTGCACGTATACAAGCACGTACACACGCACGTACACACGTACGCACGTACACACACACGCACGCTCGTCCCCGCGCTCACCGACACGATCTGATCGCCACGCCGCAGCTCCCCGCTGAGGTCAGCGGGGCCCCCCGCCAGGATGAAGGAGATGAAGATCCCCTCCCCGTCCTCGCCCCCCACGATGTTGAAGCCCAGCCCCGTGGAGCCCTTGTGCAGCGCGATCTTGCGCGGCCCGCTGGTTGACCCGGGAGCGAAGTTGGGGAGGGGGGGGGGAGGAACACACACAACATGCAAAGGTCCCCCGTGTAGCCTCGCGCGGACTGCTGGCGCAAGTGCGGTTAGCGAGCTGATGGGGCCTGCGAAGGCCGTCACGGCGAGCGAGGGAGTAGGGGGGGGGCACAGCACCACCACGCCCGACCGTCTTTGTCTCCCCGGTGACCGCAGCTTGCGTGGTAGAGCTGGGGAGTTGTTGGTTGAGGGTCATGGGGAACAGGGTTAGAGGTGAGGGGTCAGGGTGAGGGGTCAGGGTGAGGGGTTTGGGATCATCGCGGATGACGATGATTGGGGTGGTTCCCCATTCCTACACCCTCACCCCCAACACTCACCCTCCCCCCCTCCACCCTCTCCCACACTCACCTCTCACCCTCCCCCCTACACTCACCCTCCCCCCCACACTCACCCTCCCCCCTACACTCACCCTCCCCCCGTCCACCTTCTCCCACACTCACCTCTCACCCTCCCCCCTACACTCACCCTCCCCCCCCCACACTCACCCTCCCCCCTACACTCACCCTCCCCCCGTCCACCCTCCCCCCTACACTCACCTCCCCCCCTCCACTCACCCTCCCCCCACACTCACCCTCCCCCCAACCACTCCCCCCACCACTCCCCCCACCACTGCCCCCACCCCGCCCCGCCCTCCGCTCCCCTCCGCCACGCCCACCTCAGCATGTCATCGTCGCCCATCAGAGACTTGGGCACGGGGGAGTAGCGGGAGGGCGAGGGGGGGCCGTGGACGCCCCCGTACCCGCTGGGCCCCATCACGTGGTTGTCCATGCTGGGGGGGTAGGCTGCGGGTATGAGGGAGACAAAGGCGGACGTGGAGGGGGGGAGAGGGACGCAGGCATCAGCAGGTGCGGAGGTGGGGGGGTCACAGGATCCTTTCTCACGCCAAGGGGCCAGCAACAACCAGAACCGTTGAATGTGTACAGGTCTGTGTGTGTGTACAGGTCTGTGGGTGTGTGTCTGCCTGTGTGTGTGTCTATCTGTGTCTGTCTCTGTGTGTGTGTCTGTCTGTGTGTGTGTTTGTCTGTGTGTGTGTCTGTATCGTGTGTGTCTGTGTGTCTATACAGATGTGAATCTATACAGGCGTGTGTCTGTACAGGCGTGTGCGTGTACATGCGTGTACAGGCGTGTGTCCGTACTGGCGTGTGTCCATACAGGCGTGTGTCCATACAGGCGTGTGCGTGTACAGGCGTGTGTCTATACAGGCGCGTGTCCGTACATGCGTGTGTCCATACAGGCGTGTGTCCATACAGGCGTGTGTCCATACAAGCGTGTGCGTGTACAGGCATGTGTCTATACAGGCATGTGTCTATACAGGCGTGTGTCCATACAGGCGTGTATCCATACAGGCGTGTGTCCATACAAGCGTATGCGTGTACAGGCGTGTGTCTATACAGGCGTGTGTCTATACAGGCGTGTGTCTATACAGTCGGGTGTCTATACAGGCGTGTGTCTATACAGGCGTGTGTCTATACAGGCGTGTGTGTGTAAAGGCGTGTGTCTGTACAGGCGTGTGTGTGTACAGGCGTGTGTCTATACAGGCGTGTGTCTATACAGGCGTGTGTCTATACAGGCGTGTGTCTATACAGGCGTGTGTCCATACAGGCGGGTGTCTATACAGGGGTGTGTCTATACAGGCGTGTGTCCATACAGGCGGGTGTCTATACAGGCGTGTGTCTATACAGGCGTGTGTCTATACAGGCGTGTGTCCATACAGGCGGGTGTCTATACAGGGGTGTGTCTATACAGGCGTGTGTGTGTACAGGTGTGTGTCTATACAGGCGTGTGTCCATACAGGCGTGTGTCTATACAGGGGTGTGTCTATACAGGCGGGTGTCCATACAGGCGTGTGTCTATACAGGGGTGTGTCTATACAGGCGTGTGTGTGTACAGGCGTGTGTCTATACAGGGGTGTGTCTATACAGGCGTGTGTGTGTACAGGCGTGTGTCTATACAGGCGTGTGTCTACACAGGCGTGTGCCTATACAGGGGTGTGTCTATACAGGCGTGTGTCTGTACAGGCGTGTGTGTGTACAGGCGTGTGTCTATACAAGCGTGTGTCTATACAGGCGTGTGTCTATACAGGCGTGTGTCTATACAGGCGTGTGTCCATACAGGTGTGTGTCTATACAGGCGTGTGTCTATACAGGCGTGTGTCTATACAGGCGTGTGTCCATACAGGCGTGTGTCCATACAGGCGTGTGTCTATACAGGCGTGTGTCTATACAGGCGTGTGTCCATACAGGCGTGTGTCCATACAGGCGTGTGTCCATACAGGCGTGTGTCCATACAGGCGTGTGTCTATACAGGCGTGTGTCTATACAGGCGTGTGTCTATACAGGCGTGTGTCTATACAGGCGTGTGTCCATACAGGTGTGTGTCTATACAGGCGTGTGTCTATACAGGCGTGTGTCTATACAGGCGTGTGTCCATACAGGCGTGTGTCCATACAGGCGTGTGTCTATACAGGCGTGTGTCTATACAGGCGTGTGTCTATACAGGCGTGTGTCCATACAGGCGTGTGTCTATACAGGCGTGTGTCCATACAGGCGTGTGTCTATACAGGCATGTGTCTACACAGGCGTGTGTCCATACAGGTGTGTGTCTATACAGGCGTGTGTCTATACAGGTGTGTGTCCATACAGGCGTGTGTCCATACAGGCGTGTGTCTATACAGGCGTGTGTCTATACAGGCGTGTGTCTATACAGGCGTGTGTCCATACAGGCGTGTGTCCATACAGGCGTGTGTCTATACAGGCATGTGTCTACACAGGCGGGTGTCTATACAGGTGTGTGTCTATACAGGTGTGCGTGTGTGTGTACAGGCGTGTGTCTATACAGGCGTGTGTCTATACAGGCGTGTGTCTACACAGGCGGGTGTCTATACAGGTGTGTGTCTATACAGGCGTGTGTCTATACAGGTGTGTGTCTATACAGGTTGTGTGTGTGTACAGGTGTGTGTGTGTACAGATGTGTGTGTGTACAGGTGCGCGTGCGAACAGGTCAGCTGCTGACCGCTGGTGACGTCGGGCGGCCCGTAGGTGTCCGACAGGTAGAGGCTCGTGGGCTTGGCCACCTTGAGGTACACTACGTCCGAGGTGCTCTTCAGAGCCCCCACCGCGTCCTCGTGTGTCACCTCCTCCAGGCACATGGCGTTTACCTGGGGGGGGGGGGGGGCAGAGTGCAGCATGTGCAGCGTGAAGTGAAGAGGAGCGGCGTGTGTGCAGCATGGGCAGCGTGTGCGAGGTATTCGGTCGAGTGCGGTGCAGCATGCAGGGTGCAGCAGGGTGTTAGGGCGCAGCAGGCTGCAGAGGGGCGCAGCAGCATATCAGCAGCGTGCAGCAGGGTGCAGCAGCACGGTGCAGCAGCAGTGTGCAGCAGCAGGGTGCAGCAGCAGGGTGCAGCAGCACTGTGCAGCAGCGTGCAGCAGCACGGTGCAGCAGCAGTGTGCAGCAGCAGTGTGCAGCAGCAGGGTGCAGCAGCAGGGTGCAGCAGCACTGTGCAGCAGTGTGTAGCAGCACTGTGCAGCAGTGTGTAGTAGCACTGTGCAGCAGGGTGCAGCAGCAGGATGCAGCAGCAGGGAGCAGCAGCACGGTGCAACAGAACGGTGCAGCAGAACTGTGCAGCAGAACTGTGCAGCAGAACTGTGCAGCTGCACTGTGCAGCAGGGTGCAGCCGCAGGGTGAAGCAGCACGGTGCAGAAGCAGGCTGCAGCAGAACAGCGCAGCAGTGTGCAGCAGTGTGCAGCAGCACGGTGCAGCAGAACTGTGCAGCAATGTGCAGCAGCACGGTGCAGCAGCAGGGTGAAGCAGCACGGTGTAGCAGCACAGTGCAGCAGTGTGCAGCAGCACGGTGCAGCAGCACGGTGCAGCAGAACCGTGCAGCAGGGTGCAGCAGCGGTGTGCAGCAGCACTGTGCAGCAGCAGGGTGAAGCAGCACGGTGCAGCAGAACTGTGCAGCAGGCTGCAGCAGCGAGCCACTGACCGCGAGCAGGCGGTCCCCGATCTGCAGGCGGCCGTCCTTCTGCGCGGCGCCCCCGTCGATGATCTTCGTCACGTAGATGCTGTTGTCTCCCGGCATGTGCTGGTTGCCGATGCCGCCCGCGATGCTGAAGCCCAGGCCTGGTGGTGGTGGGGGTGGGGGAGGTGGTGGGCGGGGCGGGGGGCGGGGCACCACACGGTGGGGGGGGGGGGGCACGACAAGGAGGGGGGGGGCACGACACGGGGGGAGGGGGAGGTTATGGTGAGCGGAGAGGGTCGGGGATTAGGGTTGGGAGGGTGACGGCTACAGAGGCCGAGGGTCGGGCGCCAGGAGGCTGTGGGGGTGGCGGTCGTGGTTGGCGCCTGGGCTTAGCGGGGTGGAGGTGCGGTGTGTGGCGCTACGTTCGGCGTGGTGCGTGGTGCTGTGTGCTTCGGGGTGCTGTGCGCTTCGGGGTGCTGTGCGCTTCGGGGTGCTGTGTGCTTCAGGGTGCTGTGTGCTTCGGGGTGCTGTGTGCTTCGGGGTGCTGTGTGCTTCGGGGGTGCTGTGCGCTTCGGGGTGCTGTGTGCTTCGGGGTGCTGTGTGCTTCGGGGTGCTGTGCGCTTCGGGGTGCTGTGTGCTTCGGGGTGCTGTGTGCTTCGGGGTGCTGTGCGCTTCGGGGTGCTGTGCGCTTCGGGGTGCTGTGCGCTTCGGGGTGCTGTGTGCTTCGGGGTGCTGTGCGCTTCGGGGTGCTGTGCGCTTCGGGGTGCTGTGCGCTTCGGGGTGCTGTGCGCTTCGGGGTGCTGTGCGCTTCGGGGTGCTGTGCGCTTCGGGGTGCTGTGTGCTTCGGGGTGCTGTGCGCTTCGGGGTGCTGTGCGCTTCGGGGTGCTGTGCGCTTCGGGGTGCTGTGTGCTTCGGGGTGCTGTGCGCTTCGGGGTGCTGTGTGCTTCGGGGTGCTGTGCGCTTCGGGGTGCTGTGCGCTTCGGGGTGCTGTGCGCTTCGGGGTGCTGTGCGCTTCGGGGTGCTGTGTGCTTCGGGGTGCTGTGCGCTTCGGGGTGCTGTGCGCTTCGGGGTGCTGTGTGCTTCGGGGTGCGGTGCGCTTCGGGGTGCTGTGCGCTTCGGGGTGCTGTGTGCTTCGGGGTGCTGTGCGCTTCGGGGTGCTGTGCGCTTCGGGGTGCTGTGCGCTTCGGGGTGCTGTGCGCTTCGGGGTGCGGTGCGCTTCGGGGTGCTGTGTGCTTCGGGGTGCTGTGCGCTTCGGGGTGCTGTGTGCTTCGGGGTGCTGTGCGCTTCGGGGTGCTGTGCGCTTCGGGGTGCTGTGCGCTTCGGGGTGCTGTGCGCTTCGGGGTGCTGTGCGCTTCGGGGTGCTGTGCGCTTCGGGGTGCTGTGCGCTTCGGGGTGCTGTGCGCTTCGGGGTGCTGTGCGCTTCGGGGTGCTGTGCGCTTCGGGGGTGCTGTGCGCTTCGGGGTGCGGTGCCCCGGTGCGGTGCTCGGCGTGACGCTCGGCGCGACGCTCGGTGCGACGCCCTGACCTTTGGGCCCCTTGACGAGCTTGATCTCGGCGAGGGTCTCGCTGAGCGGGCGTCTGCGCCGCACGTAGAGGCGCACGATGGAGCCGGCCTCCTTGAGCGCCTCCACGGCGCGGCTGTGCGCCACCTCCCGCACGTCCACCTCGTTCACGCGCAGGATGCAGTCGTTCACCCTGCGACGCAAACGCAGTCACGCGCACGAGCAGCACCAGTCGGCGAGGCACGCACGTGGACCGGCACGCGGTGACGCACGCAGACACGAAAGGCTGAGATCCCCCCGTGGAGCCTTTAACAGAGCGTTGGGGGCAAGGGCTGTGAGCGAGCACCAACGAAGGCCGACACGGCGCACGGGAAGCTGGGTGGGCAAACACTACGCCCGGCCGCCTTTGTCCCCCCCACCCCCCACCCCCCCCCCCCAATGCTGAGGTTTAAAAACCGCACCAGGTGCTCATTTAAGGCTGAGTCCACCTAGGGGAGGCCCAGGACCGGTTCAGATAATTGTTTCCGGGGAATCGAACTCGGTTCGCCGGTGCACTACCGCTACCCACACTCACACAAAGACAAAGATCCCGCGTGTAGCCTAAACAGACTGTTGGGGCAAGTGCTGTTAGCACCTATGAAGGCCGGCATGACACACGATGAGGTGGTTGGCCAACACCACGCCCGGCCGCCTTTGTCTCTCCAGTGGCGAGGTTTCACACACTGCACCAGGTACTCATTTGAGGCGGAGTCGACCTAGAAGGGGCCCAGGACCGGTTCAAATAATCGTCACCGGTGTTGGCCGTGAGCGGGGAATCGAACTCGGGTCGCCGGGTTCGTAGCGCAACGTAGCGCTAACCGCTACACCACCGCTCCCCACTCACACACGCGCAGGAAGCACCGAACCACACGCACGCACATATCCCGTGCCACATCCTCCTCTTCTGTTTCGCATTCGTGGTGTCATCAGCTGTAACGACCCCCCTCACCCCCCACACGCCTCCACCCCCCTTGTCCCCCCTTCTCCCCTCCCCCCGCACCCCCCATCCCCCCCACCCATCCTGCTTCAACCCCAGGTGCTGCTGGACTCATCTCGTGCCGTACAGCGACGGCTGCGACTGGGGGTCCCGTCGGCAACTGCAGCAGGGCAATGGAATGGTTGAGCTGAGATGTAAGAAGCTCTGAGCGGCTGAGGCTTTGAAGCAAGTGCCACTCTCCATGCAAGTTCTTTATCTCTGGCTCTCTGTGCGAGTCTATGGGTCTCTGTGTGAGTCTATGGGTCTCTGTGTGAGTATATGGGTCTCTGTGTGAGTCTATGGGTCTCTGTGTGAGTCTATGGGTCTCTGTGTGAGTCTATGGGTCTCTGTGTGAGTCTATGGGTTTCTGTGTGAGTCTACGGGTCTCTGTGTGAGTCTATGGGTCTCTGTGTGAGTCTATGGGTATCTGTGTGAGTCTACGGGTCTCTGTGTGAGTCTATGGGTCTCTGTGTGAGTCTATGGGCCACTGTGTGAGTCTATGACTCTCTGTGTGAGTCTATGACTCTCTGTGTGAGTGTATGACTCTCTGTGTGAGTCTATGGGCCACTGTGTGAGTCTATGGGTCTCTGTGTGAGTCTATGACTCTCTGTGTGAGTCTATGGGTCTCTGTGTGAGTCTCTGGGTCTCTGTGTGAGTCTATGACTCTCTGTGTGAGTCTATGGGCCACTGCGCGAGTCTATGGGTCTCTGTGTGAGTCTATGACTCTCTGTGTGAGTCTATGGGTCTCTGTGTGAGTCTATGACTCTCTGTGTGAGTCTATGGGTCTCTGTGTGAGTCTATGACTCTCTGTGTGAGTCTATGACTCTCTGTGTGAGTCTATGACTCTCTGTGTGAGTCTATGACTCTCTGTGTGAGTCTATGACTCTCTGTGTGAGTATATGGGCCACTGTGTGAGTCTATGACTCTCTGTGTGAGTCTATGGGCTACTGCGCGAGTCTAAAGCCGTCATGTGCGCGTCAATGGCGGTCATGTGCGAGTCTGTCCCCATTTACAGGCTGGTGCCACGCAGGGACAGCTGCCGCTGGGGCTCCCCTAGGCAACAGAGCTTCCGAGTTGCTGATGGGCATTCAAGCGAGCGCCACCCTCCGTGCATACCGCCTTTGGCTCCCCGACCAGCGGGACCCCAACGCTTGCGGTCACTCGCCCGGGACCCGTCCGGGAGTCTCACCTGAGACGGCCGTCCTGTGCGGCCGCGCCGCCGGGGATGATCTTGGTGATGAAGATGGCCGGGTCGTCGCCGATGTGCGGGTTGTCGGTGCCGCCCGCAATGCTGAACCCCAGCCCGGAGTTCCCCTGCAGGAGGGGGCGGGGGGGGGGGGGTGCGGAGCGGATCGCGGGACACCGATAACATCGTCGTCATCGTCGCCGTCAGAGTCATCATCGTCATTGTCGTCATCATCGTCGTCGTCATTATCATAGTCATAATCATTATGGCTATCATCATCATCGTCTTCATTATCACCATCATCATCATGATCATCTAGTCACGAGTGCACTGTCGTTCTGTACACTGCTGCACACTGCTGCACCCCGCACAGCGCTGCACCCTGCACAGCGCTGCACCCTGCTGGACAATGCTGCACCCTGCTGCAGACTGCTGTACACTGCGCCCTGCTGCATTATGCACAAGGCTCCTCTCTGCACACAGCCAATGCTGAACGATGCCGCGATAGTTTCACAGTAGGGGGCGATGTTGCTACGTGGTTTGGCCTAGGGGACCCCCTAGTGGCAGCTGTCCCTATGCTGTAGTTTCACAGTAGGGGGCGATGTTGCCACGTGGTCTAGCCTAGGGGACCCTCTAGTGGTAGCTGTCCCTATGCTGTAGTTTCACAGTAGGGGGCGATGTTGCTACGTGGTTTAGCCTAGGGGACCCCCCAGTGGTAGCTGTCCCTATGCTGTAGTTTCACAGTAGGGGGCGATATTGCTACGTGGTTTAGCCTAGGGGACCCCCAGTGGTAGCTGTCCCTATGCTGTAGTTTCACAGTAGGGGGCGATGTTGCTACGTGGTTTGGCCTAGGGGACCCCCCAGTGGCAGCTGTCCCTATGCTGTAGTTTCACAGTAAGGGGCGATGTTGCTACGTGGTTTAGCCTAGGGGACCCCCCAGTGGTAGCTGTCCCTATGCTGTAGTTTCACAGTAGGGGGCGATGTTGCTACGTGGTTTAGCCTAGGGGACCCCTCAGTGGCAGCTGTCCCTATGCTGTTGTTTCACAGTAGGGGCGATGTTGCCGTATGTACATTTCTCTACAGCACTTGCCCCAACAGTCTGTTAAGGCTATAGGGGAGAGGGGGGTCTTTGTTTGGCGACTTGGGTCCGATTGCCGCTCACGGCCATCACCAACACCAGTGAGGATTATCTAAACCGGACCTGGGGCTCCCCTAGGTCGACTCAGCCTGAAAATGGTGTGTAAACATCGCAAGTGTTCGGTGAAAAAGGCGGCCGGGCGTGGTGGTGTTGTCCACCCACCCCCTCTTGTGCCGTGGCCGGTCTGCGTAGGTGCTCATCGCTAACAGCACTTTCCCCAAACAGTCTGTTACAGGCTATACGGGTGATCTTTGTCTTTGTGGATACTCACCCTCTCCAGCGTGATCTCTTCATACTCGTACTCCGCCTCGCTGCCGTTGAGCTGCGGAGACACGAGAACGATCTTATCCCGTGCCCTTACTGGATGTATGTGACAAAGAGCTTCATAGCTCATCGGATTTCTCCTCCTGCAGTAAAAAATACATATTCTGAATCTCACACACGGGGGGAGGGGGGGGGAGGGGGGGGAGCTCAACGCAAACCCCTCCCTCTCTCCCCGGCAGCTCCGCCCAATTTCACATAACCTCACCCATCCAAAGCCCACGCCACGCCCACTTTCACGTAGCCCCGCCCACTTTCACAGAGTACCCGCCCACTTCCAAACAGTGCAGATCACTCACCTGCCTCGCCTCCGCCCACTTTCACACAGTCCGCCACCCACTCACAACCCCGCTCACTTTCACACAGCCCCGCCCACTCACCACCTTCGCCCCACCCACTTTCACACAGCCCCGCCCACTCACCACCCTCGCCCCGCCCACTTTCACACAGCCCCCGCTCACTCACCACCATCGCCCACTCCACCACCCTCGCCCCCGCCCACTTTCACACAGCCTCGCCCAATCACCACCCACTCCCCGCCAAACTCTAACGTAGCCCCGCCCTCCGCCCAGGTAGCCCCGCCCACTAATCAGGTCGCCTCGCCGCATGCCTCGTGAGTTAAGCGCGAGTGCAGGTGCGTTGCTGTTTGCGTGTCGTTAGCATGCGTCTGTAACTCTGCGTGCGTGCGTGCATGTATTATATATTATATATGTACGGGAGTGGTAGTGCAGCGCTTAGCGCACTGCGTTACGAACCTGGCGTCCCCGAGTTCGATTCACGCTCGCGGCCAATACCAGTAACAATGATCTGAACCGATCCTGGGCCCCCTCTAGATCGACTCAGCCTCAAATGAGTAACTGGTGCGGTGTGCATACATCGCAACTAGGGAGACAAAGGCGGCCGGGCGTGGTGCTGACCACCCACCCCCTCGTGTGCCGCGCCGGCCTTCATAAGTGCTCGCCAACAGCACTTGCTCCTCCAGTCTGTGAAGGCTACACGGGGGACCTTTGCCTTTGTGTCTGTACCAGCGAGTGCGCGTCGTGAATGTAAATCTGTGTGTGTGCGATCGTGACGACACTCGGCATCACTGAGGCCACGGCCACCCCTCCCCCGCAGCCCCCCCGCCCCGCCCCTCCCCTCCCCCCCCACCCCGGCGGTCCCTTGACGACAGTAACCATGGCAACAGCCTCCGAGGGCAGAAGGACAGAACGAGAGCAAACGGGGGAGGGGTGGAGGAGGTGGGACGGGAGAGCGATAACGAGGGCGAGAATGCCGATAATGTCGAGGCAGTGAACCTCTCCCGATCATCATCAGCAGCCGTGGCCAACTCCCTCCATCCCCTCCGCGGGCTGCTCAATCCCGCACAGTGAGGCGGCGACGGTGACCGTGACAACCACCGTGACAACCACCGTGACAACCACCGTGACAACCATCGTGACAACCACCGTGACAACCACCGTGACAACCACCGTGACAACCACCGTGACGACCACCGTGACAACCACCGTGACAACCACCGTGACAACCATCGTGACAACCACCGTGACAACCACCGTGACAACCACCGTGACAACCACCGTGACAACCATCGTGACAACCACCGTGACAACCATCGTGACAACCACCGTGACAACCACCGTGACAACCATCGTGACAACCACCGTGACAACCATCGTGACAACCACCGTGACAACCACCGTGACAACCACCGTGACAACCACCGTGACGATGAACAGTGAACGCGCTCGCCCGGGGAAAACCTGCGGCGATCCTCGAGACCCGGCGCTCGGGAAGGCGCTGCCGTAGTCGCGAAGCGTGGACACATCGGCGGGCGAGTTGGGCGTCTCGTGGCGAGAGCCCCCGGAGAAACCGGAGAGAACCCCACCAAAATGCGAGGCCACAACACCGAGGGCCTCGTGCCCAGTGGGGTGGGGTGGGGGGGGGGAGGGGGGCGGTCGGTGGCCACCAGCGTTGCCATCTCCCGGCAGACATGGTCGGGGTACGGCGGCAGCACGGCAAGTGGGTTCATGCACAACGCAAGCACGGAGCTGGGGCTCTTCTCTCTCCGGGTGCTTCCGGTTTCCTCGCAGCAACCACACCAACAACTCGCGCACGGAGTTGTCCACACATCACCATGCAGGACCGCAGAGCTTGGGCAACTGTTAGGGATTGAGTCCCCGCCCACCTCCGCCTACCGTCCCCGCCCACCACCGCCTACCGTCCCCTCCCACCACCGCCTACCGTCCCCGCCCACCTCCGCCTACCGTCCCCCGCCCACCTCCACCTACCGTCCCCCGCCCACCACTACCAATGCAGGAAGAGGTGGGGCCTGTCCAGGAAGGAGCGGGGCCTAAGGAGTAAGAGACCACAGTGCAAAGCCTAAAGGGAGGGTGGGGCGGGTGCTAACAAGTAAGGCCTGGGGCCTACAGAGGTTCAACTTACCTCTTGAGTTAACAACCCAGAGGGGCGTCGCAGGCATGAACCTGAGGCGCCGCGTGCAGCTCTTAAAGGGACTGCTTCGTGACGTTATCCGCCACATTGCACTGCGGCTCTTAAAATATTGAGGTTGTGTTTTGTTGCTGTCCGCCTGATGAAGCTGGTTGTAAGTTCTGGCGAAACGTCGTACTGAGATTGTAAATGTTGTGGCTTTGCTCTCCAACACACCGGTGTGTTGTACCAGTAACGAATTGGCCACGTTCTGTTTACGTGACAAACCTTGCTAATTGGCTGTGTCGGGTGGTGGCAGGTTTGACGATAATTTTATATATTTACGCGATCTAACCCAAAGTGCCTCTATTATTGCGCTATCTTGTTAGGTGCTGGCTGCCGATCAACGCCCCCCCCCCCCCCCCCCGAGCTAAAGTTAAGGTAACAAAACGCGCAGAATCGAGACACGCACAGCAGGCAGAAAGAAGCAAAGATTCCGTGCCGCAGATGCGGCGGACACAGGCCGACTCGTTGTGGTTGTGGTGGTTGTTGATGATGTTGTTGTTGTTATCGGTGAGAAGAGGGTGACCCGAGCGGTATAGTTCACAGTGGCGGCGGCATGGACAACTCACGTAAGACGGTGAATCCAGATTGTCCGCGTTGACGATGATGGGAGGGGGATTTGCCTGCAAGACAAAATGTAGAGAGACAGAGAGACACACACACACCGACAAAGCTCCCCTGTGTGACCTATAACAGACTGTTGGAGCCAAGCGCTGTTAGCGAGCACCACCTTTTAAGGCCGGCACGGCACACGAGGGAGGGAGGGGTGGCCAGCACCACGCCCGGCCGCCTTTGTCTCCCCCAGTGGCGATATTTTTATGCACCGCGCACTGATTTAAGGCTGAATCGACCTAGGGGAGGGCCACGACCGGTTCAGATAATCGTCACCGCTGTTGGTGGTGGCCGCGAGCGGGAATCGAACCCGGGTCGCCGGGTTCGTAGCGCAGCGCGTTAACCAATACGCTACCCACAAAGACACGCACACACAGACACATTCATATGCCCAAAGACACAATCAGCCACCGCCACCTCTTTCCACACAATTGTGTAAATTGGCAAAACCACGACCACCACAGGTGATCGGCAAGTAACTTGTGGTGGGATAAAGTGTGGGTAACTCTTGGATGTCTGGCCCGTGTGGAAGAGTAGGCCAGAGATACCCTCCACAGGGAATGTCAATAGCTCCCTCTACTGGAGCAATTGCAGGGCTGCGCTTTTACTATTCTGCACATGTACATGCAGACGGTCAGACGTACACACAGACACAGGAAGATGTACGAATACACAAGGACACCGACACACAGACGAACAAATGGATCCGGATATACCAACAGCATACACACGCAGATATATACATAGACGTAGTCGACTACGCACATACATAGACACACAGAGACATAGATACACACAGAGATACACAGAGACACAGCGACACACACACAGAATAATTGAGACAGACACACTGACACTCATTCACAGAGACAGAGACACACAGACACATATATACACAGACAGAAACAAAGATATACAGATAGACAGACACACATAGAGAGAGACGCACAGACAGAGACACACATCGAGACACATAGGCACACATACACATGGATAGAGACGCACAGACAGACACACATCGAGACACGCAGACACACATGCACATGGACAGAGACGCACAGACAGAGACACACATGGAGACACGCAGACACACATACACATGGACAGAGACGCACAGACAGAGACACACATCGAGACACGTAGGCACAGGCTCTTGGTAATTGCCATCTCGATCACCACACTCCGCTCACCACACTCCGCTCACCACCCTCGGCTCACCAAACTCCGCTCACCACACTCGGCTCACCACCCCTGGGCTCCCAGGAGGGAGCTGCATATGGGAGGGGAGGTGGGGGGGTGTGCAGTCACACGGAGATCCCACGGGGGATGGGAAAGGAGAGAGGGGGAGCGGGGAGAGGGAGTGGAGCTGGGAGAGAGGGAGAATGGGGAGAGGGAGTGGACCCCCCCCCCCCCCCTTAGAGGGAAAATTTGCGCCGCTTTGAAACAATCAGCCTGGCCTGCCTACGCTCCACCCTGGGTTTAACCAGGCAGGGTGGTGCGAGCTCACAGATGCTTGAAAGATCTGGACGCAGTCCCATCATCAGTGAGCTCCTCCGGCAGGCAAGGCTGCATTGGTTGTGTCACGGAGCCCGCATGCCCAGCCACCGTGTGCCCAAGCAGCTTCTGTTTGGCCGGACAGAGGGGGCCAAACAGGCGTGGCACGGGCTTGAGAAGAGATCGGCTGATGTGGTACAGGAGGATGAATAGCTGAGTGGATAAAAACAAAATTATCCGTACAGCCTTAACAGACTGTTGCCGGAAGTGCTGTTAGCGAGTAGCAGTACGTATGAAGTCCGGCACGGCACACGAGGGGGGGGGGGGGAGAGGGGTGGACAGCACCACGCCGGGCCGCCTTTGTCTCCCGAGTAGACATTCGCAACACACACACACACACCCTCTCTCGAACATACACGCAGTCGCCCGCCCGCTCACGCACGCACGCGCAACAACACTCACGCAACGCACAACGAAAACGGGACAAAGATCCCCCGGCACCCGTGTGACCTACACGGGTGGCGGGGCGAGCGCGGCTCGACTCACGTGGAGCCGGCAAACCCGGGCGCGATCGCGACGACACCGGAGGTGAAGGGGAAGCCGCGAGTTATTGACGAGACGCGAGCATTGTTGGGGGTGGGGGGGGGGGGAGCGGGCGAGGGGGGGGGGGGGGTAGGAGACCGGGGGCCTCAGCCAGCAACCCCCCCTCACCCCGCGATCGCGTCGCTCGCTCATCAGTATTCCGGCGAGAGCGCGCCTCCCAGAAATGTTGCTCCTGCAGCGGCTCCGCAGCGAAGATCACGGACCCCCCCCACCCCCTCCTCCCCCCACCCCCCATTCCCCCCTGCCCCCACCCCCCCTCCCGCCACCCCCCATACATGGCAGTGACCCTGGAGATGTCCACCGTCCACATCGCTGTCCATCCCGCTCATCCCCCACCCTCCACCCTCCCACCACCACCCCCCACCTCATCGACGTCCACCGCTCGCGCCCTCTAGTGGAGCAATTGCAGGGCTGCGCTTTTACTATTCTGCACATGCAAGGCGGTCAGACACAGCGAGATGCACGGATGCACAAGGACGCCGACACACAGACAAACAAATATATATGGATGTACCAACAGCACCCCCGCCCCCCCGTGTGTCCACCCACACCAAGCGTCGTCAATCTCCACCCCCGTGCACTGTCGGCGCTACCCCGCTCCTCGTCTTCACCACACGGCAGCGGTGTCACAGGTCACGTGGTCTGGCCTAGGGCAGCCCCTCCCGCTGTAGTTTCACAGTCGCTGGAGGGGGCAATGGGGGGGGGGGTTGGGCAATGGTGCTACTGTGTGCGATCCCAATGGAGTAATCCGTGGGTGGTGGGTTCATTAATTTATTTGGACGCTCACACTGGAAAACACAATGACCTACCCTGTCCGAATGACGTCAGCGGGGATGTTTAACATTCAGAGTAAAACAGACGGCGCGTTGTAGCAGTGGTTGTAGTACTAGTAGTATTTTTTTACGCTTGATACACCCGCAATAATAGCCAGGGCGGGCTGCCGGATAAGAACCGCAAGCATCTACAAACGAGGGGTGAGCGCGCAAAACGCTGGGCCGCGTCACCGCCGGTCTCAAAGCTGAGCCTCCACTCACCGTCTCAGCCCCTGAGATCTCTCAAGGGCAGCCACCTTCGGTCGTCCATTAACTACTCCTCATCTCCCCTCCTCCCTGTCTCCTCATCTCCTCATCTCCCTGTCTCCTCATATCCCCTAATGCCTGTCTCCTCATCTCCCTGTCTCCTCATCTCCCTGTCTCCTCATCTCCCCGTCTCCTCATCTCCCTGTCTCCTCATCTCCCTGTCTCCTCATCTCCCCTTCTCACTGTCTCCTCATCTCCCCTTCTCACTGTCTCCTCATCTCCCCTTCTCACTGTCTCCTCATCTCCCCGTCTCCTCATCTCCCTGTCTCCTCATCTCCCCTTCTCACTGTCTCCTCATCTCCCCTACTCCCTGTCCCATCTCCCTGTCTCACCATCTCTCTATCTCCCCTTCTCACTGTCTCATCATCCCCCCGTCTCCCTCATCTCCTATCTATCCCATCTCTCACACTCTCCCATTGCTCCCATGTCCCCATCTCCCCCAACTCCCCCATCTCCCCATCTCTCCCCCATCTCCTATCTCTCCCATCTCTCCCATGTCCCCATCTCCCCATCTCTCCCATGTCCCCATCTTTCCCCCATCTCCCATCTCTCCCATGTCCCCATCTCCCCCATATCCCCTATCTCTCCCATCTCTCCCATCTCCCCGTCTCCCGGTCTCTCCGTCTCCCCCATCTCCTATCTCTCCCATCTCTCCCATCTCCCCATCTCTCCCCCATCTCCTATCTCTCCCATCTCTCCCATGTCCCCATCTCCCCATCTCTCCCATGTCCCCATCTTTCCCCCATCTCCCATCTCTCCCATGTCCCCATCTCCCCCATATCCCCCATCTCTCCCATCTCCCCGTCTCCTGCTCTCTTCGTCTCCCCCATCTCTCCCATCTCCCCATCTCTCCCATGTCCCCATCTCTCCCATGTCCCCATCTTTCCCATCTCTCCCATCTCCCCGTCTCCCCGTCTCCCGCTCTCTCCGTCTCCCCCATCCCCCGTCTCTCCGCTCCTCTCTGCTTTAGCTCAGCGACTCGCCTATTTGTCGCTCAGCGTTACTTCCTCCCTCGGACCGCGCGCTCTCTCGGGAGCCACGGCGCATTTAATTACTTTTGGCCGACTTGCCAAAAATAATAAGGGGGTGGCTGCAACGCCGAGGGGGGGGGGAGCGGGGGGGGGCAGCATCATCGGCTAGGGGGCATTCGCTCATCGGAGCGCGAACTTGTAGTTTTATACAAACTGTCCACCCCCCCCCCCCCTCTCTCCCTTCCCCTGGGGAAACAATCAGTGGAGCCGCTCCGCTCAGCTAAGCCATGCTCATCGGGGGACCAATCAATGGCAAACGCACGCACAGATGTCACGCGCGCACACACACCCACACTCACACCCATACACACAACCACACACACCCACACACACCCACACCCATACACACACCCACACACACCCACACACACCCACACCCATACACACACCCACACACACACCTACACACACTCACACCAACACACATCCACCCAGACACACACCCACACACACACCCATACACACACCCACACACACACACCCACACACACACACCCACACACACACACCCACACCCATACACACACCCACACACACCCACACACACCCACACCCATACACACACCCACACCCATACACACACACACACCCACACACACACACCCACACACACACATCCACCCACACACACACACACGCAAAGTCAAAGATCCCCGTATAACCTTAACAAAATGTTGGGGAAAGTGATGAGTCGACCTAGGAAGGCCCGAGGACCGATTCAGATAATCGTCACTAGTGCTAACCGTGAGCGAGAATCGAACTTGGGTCACCAGGTCCATAGTACACCGCGCTAACCGTGTGTGT